GGGGGGCATGTGCCCCCCCAGATGTATGCGCAGGGTGAGGGCAGGCTGCCTGCTGCAGGCTCAGGACCAGGAGGGCACTAGGCTGGGGCTGTTTGGGGCAGGACCAGGGCTGCATGGGGTGGGTGGTAGCAGCACTGGGATGAGTGGTTACAGGGGGCTATGGGGAATTTTGGGGTGGTTATAGCCCCCTAAATTCCCCCCAGCACTGCTGCCCCCTCCCAGCGCTGCTGCCCGCCCTGCCCCTATCCACCCCGAGCACAGTCCTGGCCCTGGCCCCCCACTGAAAAGAGGCTGGTGCAGCTCCTGGCCCCAAGCCCACAGCAGGTAGCCCACCGTCACCCCATGCATAAATTCTGGAGGCCACATGGCCCCATGCCTCCCCCAGGGGTGCACACAGTGGCGGGGAGCTGCCCCACCCCAGGTCCCATTCACTGCCCTGGCTAGGCAACCCCTGTCCCACTCCCTCCCTCACCATGGGGGACTTGATCTGCCCCCTTCATGCCCGTTCCTTCCTCCGTGCACTATGCTCCACCACAGATTTACCGGCCAGATGCTGTTCTCCAAGTTGCCAGGCTGCATTCCTGGCTACGTGCATGCTGCAGCAGCATACATGTGCGCAGCATTTATTGGTGACATTATTGGCCAAAAAAAGCCAATTGCCAATAATGTTAATTTTCCTGTTATTGGTGCTGATCCAATGTATGACCAATATATCGGTGCACCTCTACCAATTCCTAGCGTCTCTACTGAGATGAGATTTTTTTTTTTTAATTTGAAGTTGGGAGCTTTTTCCAGTGATGCCCAACATTGGATTCAGACATGCAATCCTCACAACTGTAATAGCATTAATTTCCTAAATAAGTTCAAGAAACATTCTTTTTCTGGTTAATCATCAAAGTCTGATCTTTGAGAGCATTGACAATCCCAAGATAATAATGTCTCCTGTACTGAATTCTAATAGATGGCTATTGGTTAGAAATTCTCAGTCACCCTAAGCCAAGCCCACTTCCTTGGCTTCTTCATGTCTTAATATCTGGGAGAAAATACAGGTAATTATAGACAATCTACCTTGTTTATAGATTGTCTGTACTTAAAGGATGATCCTGCTTCACCTTGGAAATATATTGAGAATCCCATTGTAAGAGAACTGTAGACCTTCTCAAAAAGATGACTAAGAAAGCATATCTGTACTAACCTGTCATTTTCCTTTCCTTGAGTAATAATGCATTCAAGGATACAAATGGATCATCCAAAATAGAGATGCAAGTTGATAACCAACCATTTGGTTTTGTTGTCATTAAGTGGAATTGACCATGCTGTACAGCAGGAAAAAATCCTCCATTCTACCCCTTCCCAACATTTAACAGAATGTATAATATAAGAAAATTAATTTAAAGTATTCTGACTATAGAAGTTCCTTCAAATGACAGGAAACTGCCAGCAGACTGAAGTACCATTTGTAATGAATCTGTAGACCTTATTACTCTTCCTGTTAGAAGGCTTTAAAGATGTAGTTTTGTTAGGCAAAAGTATAAGCACTGAGAATTTTAAACTACCTAAGTCTGCTGTACTGTCACTGGAGTCATGAAGGAAATGTTGAAAATGGTAATTAAAAATATTTTAGTAATAAAATTTGACTAATGTGATCATACTAAACATTGCTGCTCTCCTTCAGTATTTAGTATTGCATCTGATTCCCCTGTAATTATGTACTTAGCTCATTATTCTGCAATCTAATCCATGTTTGTAGAGCCCCCACATTGGACTGTAAGCATAAGAAGCCACCTGCACAGATCTGATGTGTGTATCAAATATCAATATTTCACTTCAATTTTTACAGAAGATGGCCTCTCTCCTACATATAATCATGCATATACAATGAAACTAAAGCACAGCAATTTATCCGGAGGTACAGAGGTGTAACCATCCCATGAGTTAGCATTATGTCAAGCTTTCGTGCGTGATTTGGCATTGTTCTCAGATCTCTAGTTAAGATCTTTAGTGGATTAATCTTGACTTTAACAGTTGTTTTTATCTTTAACAGGAAGACAGTGATCCAGCTGTTCATGAAAGCCTTAGCATAGAAAACACATTATGGGCAAGCACTGTTGTTGCTTCAGGTGAGAAATATGTGCTCCAATGTCAAAGCGTGATATGTACAAACATTTCTCAGGGGAAGTATATTATATTTTATATGGTAATTTTTTAATGGCTGTCAGAACTCTTAACAATATGTGTCCAGTCTTCATGCCCCTTCCCCTTCTTGCTCTCTAAAGTCCTATCCCAACTGTTTTCTCTTGCTAGTAATTCTTTGTTTCTTGTCTATCCTTTCTTATCATTCTTTACAGTTTGCCACACATTGGGTTTGCTCTTTCACTTGTCTTCTAATTAAAATATCATGTATGAACCCTTTCCTGTTTAGCTCCAGTATAGTATCTCACTGGAAATCACTGTTTTGATTGTATTGTAACTTGACTGATTGTATTTTAACTTGGATGTTTCTCAGGTTTGTTGGCAAGAGAGTTTGGTTAGAGAAAAATACTAACAATAACATCCTCAGAGTGCTGTGCAAAAAACACATTTTATCTATTTTCACTGAATTTCACAGTTCTGACTTGCACATATTGTAATGGGTATTGTTTTGTAAGTTAATTTTCAGAGAAATATAAAGCTTTCTTTGCATATACTTCATTCAATAACATAATGCCTCAGCTGCATGAATTGTAGTTGTATCAGGGAAAGTGTGGGTCCCCTACTGAACATGAAAGGCAACATAGTGACAGATGATGCATAGAAGGCTGAAGTACTCAATGCATTTTTTACATCAGTCTTCACAGGCAAGAACAGCTCCCAGACTACTGCACCTAGCTGCACAGTTTGAGGGGAGAGGTGAGCAGCCAAGAGTAGCAAAAGAACAAGTTAAGAGATTATTTAGAAAAGCTAGACCTGTACAAATCCGTGGGGACAAATGTGATGGAACTGAGGCTGATGAGGCAAATGTGATTGCAGAGTTGCTGGCCATTATCTCTGAAAAATGATAGCAGGTGGAAGAGGTCCTGGATGATTGGAAAAGGACATATATAGTGCCCTTCTTTAAGAAAGGAGGAGTATCCAGGGAACTATAGACCAGTCAGCCTCACCTCAGTCCCTGAAAAATTATGGAACATTTCTAAGTACTTGGACAAGAAGAAGGTGATTAAGAACAGGCAGCTTAGATTCACCAAGGGCAAGTCATGCCTGACCATACTGTGATTGCCTTCTATGATGAGATGACTGGCTCTGTGGAAGCGGGGAGAGAAGTAGGTGCGATATATGTTGACTTTAACAAGGCTTTTGGTGAGGTCTCTCACAACATTCTTTACAAACAAGTTAAGAAAGTATGGGTTGGAGGAACGGACTGTAAGGTGGATAGAAAACTGGTATGATCATTGGGTACAAAGGGTATTAATCAATGGCTTGATGTCTAGTTTGCAGCTGGTATCAAGTAGATCAAGGGTCAGTCCTGGGGCTGGTTTTGTTCAGTATCTTTATCAGTGACCCGGAAGACGGGATGGAGTGCACCCTCAGCAAGTTTGCAGATGATACCAAGCTGTAGGGAGTACTAGATATGCTGGAGAGTAGGGCTAGGATTCAGAAAGACCTCAGCAAATTGGAGGATTGGACCAAAATAAATCTCATCAGGTTCAATAAGGACAAGTGCAAAGTCCTGCACTTAGGATGAAACAATCCCATGTACCGCTACAGGCTTGGGACTGAGTGGCTAAGCAGCAGCTCTGCAGAAAAGGACCTGGGGGTTACAGTGGAAAATAAGCTCAATAGGAGTCAACAGTGCAAAGTCCAGCACTTAGAATGTAACAATCCCATGTTCTGGTACAGGTTGGGGACTGACTGGCTGGGCAGCAGCTCTGCAGAAAAGGACCTGGGGATTACAGTGAACAATAAGCTGAATATGAGCCAACTGTGTGCCCTTGTTGCCAAGTAGTCTAATGGCATGCTGGGCTGCATCGATAGAAGTGTTGCCAACTGATTGGGGGAAGTGATTATTCCCCTTGATTCAGCACTAGTGAGGCCACATCTGGAGTACTGTGTCCAGTTTTGGGCCCCCACTACAGAAAGGATGTGGGCAAATTAGAGAGAGTCCAGTGGAGGGCAATGAAAAAGGTTAGGGGGCTAGGGCACATGCCTTCTGAGGAGAGGCTGAGGGAATTGGGTTTATTTCTTCTGGAGAAGAGAAGACTGAGGAGGGATTTGATAGCAGCCTTCAACTGTCTGAAGGGTGGTTCGAAAGAGGATGGAGCTAGACCAGGGGTTGGCAAAATATGGCCTGCAGGCTGGATTTGGCCTGCGAGGCCATTCTATCCAGCCCGCAGGGCCCCTAAAAAATTTAGAAAGTTAATTTTTATCTGCCTTTGGTTCCTGTCAAAAATGACAGGAACCAAGGGCAGTAGGACCCAGCACAACAGCTCAGCCCCACCCCCCAGCCGGAAGTCCCAGCCAGGGCTTCTGACCTGGGACCACGTGCCTGCCCCAGCGTGGGAAGTGGTGGGGAAGGCAGGGGAGGACCCCGGGCAGGGAAGGAACCAGAGGAAAAGCTGAGCGCAGGGAGGGGGAAGCGGCCCCTCACCCACCCAGTGCTGCAGCTGCTTGCAGCCCACATGGGGCTGCTTGTGCCTGCTCCAGACAGTCCTGCGTGGGCTGCAAGTGCCTGCAGCAGAGAGCATTGGCCATGGGGCAGGGGAGGGACTATTTCCGCCCCCCGCGCTCAGCTTCCCCCGCCCCGTGCCGCC